AAAATTTAATCAATTTCCTTGTTTTACGATTAGCTAATGGTAACATTCGGGAATCGAAGCATGTTACAAAAATACTTTTAGAGCAAAAGTTGTAGCAAATTTTGTTCTTAATAATATTGCTCTCTTGTATATTTGCTCTTAGATTTGTCAATATTGAACAAAATACAAAAATTTAAAAATTTTATGAATATCCTTGTTTTTTATTAGCTAATGGTAACATTCGGGAATTGAAGCATGTTATCAAAAAACTCTTAGAACAAAAGTTGTTGCTAATTTTATTCTTAACAATATTGCTCTCTTTCATTTTTGCTCTCATATACGTCAATATCGAGAAAAATACGAAAATATGAAAATTTGACGAATTTTATGTTTTACTAGTGTTAATGGTAACATTTGGGAATCGGAGCATGATATCAAAAAACTTTTAAAACAAAAGTTGTAGCATATGTTGTTATTAACAATATTGCTCTGTTGTATATTTGCTCTCAGATTCATCAATATTGAGATAAATACAAAAATTTAAAAATTTGATGCTTTTTCTTGTTTTACTATTAGCTAATGGTAACATTTGTGAATTGAAGCATGTTATCAAAAAACTTTTAGAACAAAAGTTGTTGCAAATTTTGTTATTAACAATATTGCTCTCTTGTATATTTGCTCTCAGATTCGTCAATATTGAGAAAAATGGAAAAATTTAAAAATTTGATGAATTTCCTTATTTTACTATCAGTTAATCGTAACATGCGGGAATTGAAGCATGTTCCAAAAGAACTTTTTAAACAAAAGTTGTAGCAAATTTTATTCTTAACAATATTGCTCTCTCTCTCATTTTTGCTTTTACATGCGTCAGTATTGAGAAAAATACGAAAATTTGATGAATTTTCTTGTTTTACTATTACCTAATGGTAACATTTGGGAATCGAAGCATGTTACAAAAAAACTTTTAGAACAAAAGTTGTTGCTAATTTTATTCTTAACAAAATTGCTCTCTTGTACATTTGCTGTCAGATGCGTCAATATTGGGAAAAATACAAAAATATGAAAGTTTTATGTTTTTCGTTGTTTTACTAGTAATTAATAGTAGCACTCGAAAATCGGAGCATGATACAAAAAAACTCTTAGAACAAAAGTTGTAGCAAATTTTACTCTTACCAATATTGCTCTGTTGCATTTTGCTCTCAGAAGCACTAATATTGAGAAAAATAAGAAAATATGAAAATTTGATGAATTCGTTGTGTTACTAGAAGTTAATGGTAGAAACAAGATACTGCTAATAGCATTCTGGATCTGCATATAGAACACTATTTATTGCTTCTAGACGGCTAAATACTGCTGAAAGAAGCAAGATACTGTTAAGAGAATTCCGAATCTGCTTGCAAAAGGTTACTTATTGCTTCCAGAAGGCTAAATATTGCAGGCAGAAGTAAAATACTTTTAATAGAATTTTGGATCTGCTTCCAAAAGACTACTTATTTCTTCCAGAAGGCTAAATACTGTTGGTAGAAACAAGATACTGTTAATAGCATTCTGGATTAGAATAAAAGTTGTAGCAAATTTTGTTCTTAACAACATTGCTCTCTTGTATATTTGCTCTTAGATTTGTCAATATTGAGAAAAATGGAAAAATTTAAAAATTTGATGAATTTCCTTATTTTACTATCAGTTAATCGTAACATGCGGGAATTGAAGCATGTTCCAAAAAAACTTTTTAAACAAAAGTTGTAGCAAATTTTATTCTTAACAACATTGCTGTCTTGTATATTTGCTCTCAGATTAGTCAATATTGAGAAAAATTGAAAAATTTAAAAATTTGATGAATTTCCTTATTTTACTATCAGTTAATCGTAACATGCGGGAATTGAAGCATGTTCCAAAAAAAGTTTTAAAACAAAAGTTGTAGCAAATTTTATTCTTAACAACATTGCTCTCTTGTATATTTGCTCTCAGATTCGTCAATATTGAGAAAAATGAAAAAATTTAAAAATTTGATGAATTTCCTTATTTTACTATCAGTTAATCGTAACATGCGGGAATTGAAGCATGTTACAAAAATACTTTTAAAACAAAAATTGTAGCAAAATTTATTCTTAACAATATTGCTTTCTTGTCTATTTGCTTTCAGATACGTCAATATCCAGAAAAATACGAAAATATGAAGATTTGATAAATTTCGTTGTTTTACAAATTGTTAATGGTAATACTTGGAAATTGGAGCATATTGTAAAAAAACTTTTGGGACGAAAGTTGTAGCTAATCTTATTCTTTACAATATTGCTCTCTTGTACATTTCTGCTCAGATTCGTCAAAATAAGAAAAGTTGAAAAACTTGATGTATTTCCTTGTTTTACTATTAACTAATGGTAATATTCGGGAATCGAAGCATGTTACAAAAATACTTTTAGAACAAAATCTATAGCAAATTTTACCCTTTACACATTACTCTGTAACGCTTTTGCTCTTAGATGCATCAATGTAGAGAAATATTCAAAAATATGAAAATTGGAAAAATTCGTACTTAGTTACACAAATTGCTAATGGAAAAAAAACTGTAATCCGAGTATGATACAGAAAAACTTTTAGAACAAAAGTTGTAGTAAATTTTACTCTTTACACATTACTCTCTAACACCTTTGCTGTCAGATGTATCGATGTAGAGAAATATTCAAAAATATGAAACTTGGAAAAATTCGTAGTTACACAAGTTGCTAATGGAAAAGAAAACTGTAATCCGAGCATGATACAGAAAAACTTTTATAACAAAAGTTATAGCAAAAATTGTTGCAAATTTTGTTCTTAACAATATTGCTCTCTTGTATATTTGCTCTCAGATGCGTGAATATTGAGAAAAATACAAAAATTTAAAAATTTGATGAATTTCCTTGTTTTACTACTAGCTAATGGTAACATTCGGGAATTAAAGCATGCTATCAAAAAACCTTTAGAACAAAAGTTGTTGCAAATTTTGTTATTAACAATATTGCTCTCTTGTATATTTGCTCTCAGATGCGTCAATATTAAGAAAAATACGAAAAATTAAAAATTTGATGAATTTCCTTGTTTCACTATTAGCTAATGGTACCATTCGGGAATCGCAGCATGTTATCAAAAAACTTTTATAACAAAAGGTGTAGTAAATTTTGTTCTTAACAATATTGTTCTCTTATATATTTGCTCTCAGATACGGCGATATTGAAGAAAATACGAAAGTTTAAAAATCTGATGAATTTCTTTGTTTTACTATAAGTAATGGTTTGTGAATAGAAGCATCTTATCAAAAAACTTTTAGAACAAAAGTTGCAGCAAATATTGTTGTTAACAATATTGCTCTGTTGTATATTTGCTCTCAGATTCGTCAATATTGAGAAAAATAGGAAAATTTGATGAATTTACTTGCTTTACTATTAGCTAATGGTAACATTCGGGAATCGAAGCATTTTACAAGAAAACTTTTATAACAAAAGTTGTAGCAGAATTTGTTCTGAGGAATATTGCTCTCATATATTTTTGCTCTCAGATGCGTCAATATCGAGAAAAATACGAAAATATGAAAATTTGATGAATTTGATGCTTTTTCAAGTGGTTGTAGCAATCGGGAATCGAAGCATGTTACAAAAATACTTTTAGAACAAAAGTTGTTGCAAATTTTATTCTTAACAATATTGCTCTCTTGTACATTTGCTCTCAGATTCGTCAATATTGAGAAAAATATAAAAATTTAAAAATTTGATGAATTTCCTTGTTTTACTATTAGCTAATGGTAACATTCGGGAATCGAAGCATGTTACAAAAATACTTTTAGAACAAAAGTTATAGCAAAATTGATTCTTAACAATATTGTTCTCTTTCGCTTTTGCTCTCAAATGTGTCAATATCGAGAAAACACAAAAATGCGAAAATTTAATGAATTTTGTTGTTTTACTTACTCTTAATGGTAACATTTGGGAATCGGAGCATGATATCAAAAAAATTATATAACAAAAGTTGTAACAAATTTTATTCTTAACGATATTGCTTTCTTGCACTTTTGCTCTTAGATACATCAATATCGAGGTAGATACGAAAATATGAAAATTTGATAAATTTCGTTGTTTTACAAATTGTTAATGGTGACACTTGGAAATTGGAGCATGTTATAAAAAAACTTTTAGAACAAAAGTTGTAGCAAATTTTGTTGTTAACAATATTGTTCTCTTGTATATTTGCTCTCAGATTCGTCAATATTGAGAAAAATACGAAATTACGAATATTTGACGAATTTTTTGTTTTGCTTACTCTTAAAGGTAACATTTAGGAATCGGAGCATGTTATGAAAAAACTTTTGGAACAAAAGTTGTTGCTAATTTTGTTCTTAACAATATTGCTTTCTTATATATTTACTCTCAGATACGTCAATATCGAGAAAAATACAAAATAAGACCATGTTTTTATTTCCTTATCCAGATTATTTTCGAGTTATTTAAGGCGACTTAATGACTCTGTTTAATGAGATGACACGCTCTTTGCCTCTATTACGTGATATACATCGAAATTTCAAGACTACTTCTTACCTAATGCTAAAAATTAATTCACCAAAGATTAATTCACCACAAAACGCTTTTTTTAAGTTAAAAATTAAATTAATCTCATTTAAAAAAATCAAGGAAATAAAATTTAATCCTTATCTTTTTGGCACATCTTAAATTGAGTCCTGCTCGGTGTTATCCCGCCTTGAATAATCTTCCTTTTAAACTCAACTCGTTTTTATCATTATGTCAAGGTTACTCTCGATAAATAAAACTTTGAGTTTGAAACTATCGGTTAAGACAAGGAAGATATTCGATTTTGACAACTTTAATTTGTTGATAATTAAAGTGAAATAAATAATTAAAGAAATTCGAATAACCCTAAAGGGTTAGGGAGTTTAATTCTTTAAAAAATTCTTGTAAATTTCGTTTCAACACATTTTTTGAGAGGTTCTTATGGAAGGTTTTGAATTAATTCAATTTCAGTCGAGTTTTAGATCTTGTGTGGTGAAGACGCTTCTTAAAAGGACCTCTGGGTGCCAAAAAACATAAAATGAGAGAGTTTTTAAATCAATCGTTTCGTTTAGTGACAATTTAAAGTGTTAATTTCACCACTAAGTGATAACTAAAGTTTTAAGGTAATGTGTTAAGTTGGATTTAAAAAGTTATAACTGCGATGTTTATGGGAATTAAGAAATTATTTGGGGTGTTGAATCTTTATTAAATTTGCTTTAAAATGCTGTTTCTTTCAACTCGATATCTCAATTCGTTCTTGAGATACGACCTTTTAAAGTTTATGTTTCATATCGAAAAATTAAACATGTAGAGTTGGGTTTAAAAAATCATAACAAATAGGCGCTTGTATAAATCATAACGATATTATCAGCAATTGTACTACAAATTATAAGCTTTCTAATGACACAAACGGATTTCCAAAATATTTGTTAGTTTTTGAGATATTAATTTTTTAACAGAAGGTGAAATCGTGATTTTGGATCTTGTGGGTAGAGGATGAATTAGAAAATCGGAGCGTTTTAGAAAAAACGTTTTAATATAAAAGTTGTAGCAAATTTAATTCTTAACAAAATCACTCTTTTACACTTTTACTCTCAGATGCATAGAAATCGAGAAAGATTCGAAATTCAATTCGATGAAATCGTGGTTTTGTATCTTGTTGGTAGAGGACGAATCAGAAAATCGGAACGTTTTAGACAAAAGTTTTAGTATAAAAGTTGTAGCAAATTTCATTCTTAACAATATCACTCTTTTACACTTTTTCTCCCAGAAGCATAGAAATCGAGAAAAATTCGAAATTAAATTACATGAAATCGTGATTTTGGATCTTGTTGGTAGAGGATGAATCAGAAATTCGGAACGTGTCACAAAAAAAATTTTAATATAGAAGTTGTAGCAAATTTAATTCTTAACAATATCACTCTTTTATACTTTTACTCCCAGAAGCATAGAAATCGAGAAAATTTCGAATTCAATTAGATGAAATCGTGGTTTTGCATCATTTTGGTAGAGGACGAATCAGAAATTCGGAACGTGTCAGAAAAAAAGTTTTAAGATAAAAGTTGTAGCAAATTTAATTCTTAACAATATCACTCTTTTACACTTTTACTCCCAGAAGCATAGAAATCGAGATAAATTCGAAATTCAATTAGATGAAATCGTGGTTTTGTATCTTGTTGGTAAAGGACGAATCAGAAAATCGGAACGTTTTAGAAGAAAGTTTTAAGATAAAAGTTGTAGCAAATTTCATTCTTAACACTTTTGCTCTTTTACACTCTTACTCCCAGAAGCATAGAAATCGAGATAAATTCGAAATTCAATTAGATGAAATCGTGGTTTTGTATCTTGTTGGTAGAGGACGAATCAGAAAATCGGAACGTTTTAGAAGAAAGTTTTAAGATAAAAGTTGTAGCAAACTTCATTCTTAACACTTTTGCTCTTTTACACTCTTACTCCCAGAAGCATAGAAATCGAGAAAAATTCGAAATTCAATTAGATGAAATCGTGGTTTTGGATCTTGTGGGTATAGGTCGAATTAGAAAATCGGAACGTTTTAGAAAAAAATTTTTAGTATAAAAGTTGTAGCAAATTTAATAATTAACAATTTTGCTTTTTTATACTTTTGCTCTGAGATGTATAGAAATCGAGAAAAATACGAAATTCAATTAGATGAAATCGTGGTTTTGCATCTTGTTGGTAGAGGACGAATCAGAAATTCGGAACGTTTTAGAAAAAAAGTTTTAGTATAAAAGTTGTAGCAAATTTAATTCTTAACAATATCACTCTTTTACACTTTTACTCCCAGATGCATAGAAATCGAGAAAAATACGAAATTCAATTAGATGAAATCGTGGTTTTGGATCTTGTTGGTAGAGGATGAATCAGAAATTCGGAACGTGTCAGAAAAAATGTTTTAGTATAAAAGTTGTAGCGAATTTAATTCTTAACAATATCACTCTTTTACACTTCTCCTCCCAGAAGCATAGAAATCGAGAAAAATTTGAAATTCAATTAGATGAAATCGTAGTTTTGCATCTTGTTGGTAGAGGATGAATCAGAAATTTGGAACGTGTCAGAAAAAAAGTTTTAGTATAAAAGTTGTAGCAAATTTCATTCTTAACAAAATCACTCTTTTACACTTTTACTCTCAGATGCATAGAAATCGAGAAACGTTCGAAATTTAATTAGATGAAATCGTGGTTTTGCATCTTGTGGGTAGAGGACGAATCAGAAAATAGGAACGTGTTAGAAAAAAAGTTTCAGTATAGAAGTTGTAGCAAATTCAATTCTTAACAATATTGCTCTTTTACACTTTTACTCTCAGATGCATTGAAATCGAGAAAAATTCGAAAAGGTGACAATTAGATGACATCGTGGTTTTGCATCTTGAGGGTAGAGGACGAATCAGAAAATTGGAACGTGTTATAAAAAAAGTTTTAGTATAAAAGTTGTAGCAAATTCAATTCTTAACAATATTGCTCTTTTACACTTTTACTCCTAGAAGCATAGAAATCGAGAAAAATGCGAAATTCAATTAAATGAAATCGTGGTTTTGCATTTTGTTGGTAGGGGATGAATCAGAAAATCGGAACGTTTTAGAAAAAAATTTTTTGGATAAAAGTTGTAGCAAATTTCATTCTTAACAAAATCACTCTTTTACACTTTTACTCCCAGAAGCATAGGAATCGAGGTAAATTAAAATTAATTTAATTATAAAATAATTAATTAAATTAAATAGGGGCTATCTCAAAAACGAAAGAAAATACGATAAAAAGTTACTCTTTATGTTCGATTTGAAATTCATTTTTGTTGTGAGGACGCTTTTTAAACTTAAATCTCTCGGTATCAAAACGTAGCATTCAACACCACAGAAAATGACACTTTTTAAACCGATCGTTTCGTTCAGTGCCAAGTGTTTTAACCATTAAAATATTTAAGGTAATATTTAACTCTAAGAAAAAAACACTTTTAGACTTTTTAGTTAATTAAAAGCGGTTCAAAACAGTTTCTTTTCTCGTTATTGATGTTAAAATACGACTAATTAATATCAAGTTGAAATTAAAACTAATTTTTCTTTCACTTTTGCTCTCAGATGTGTCAATATTCAGAAAAATACGAAAATTTAAAAATTGATGAATTTTTTTGTTTTACTATTAGTTAATGGTAACCCGTGGATTAAAACTCCGAGAGATGCTTTAATATCGTAGTAAATAAAATAGTTTATAGCTGTTGATGAAAAAAATGAATTAAATAGAAATTTATTTGCAATACGAAATGAGACGATGTTTTTATTTCCTTATCCAGGTTATTTTCGGGTTATTTAAGACGACTTAATGACTCTGCTTAATGAGATGACACGCTCTTTGGGTCTATTACGTGATGTAGATTGAAATTTCAAGATAACTCCTCACCTAAAGCTAAAAAACTTAATTCATCACAAAACTAATGGTAACATTTGGGAATCGGAGCATGTTATCAAAAAACTTTTATAACAAAAGTTGCAGCAGGTTTTGTTATTAACAATATTGCTCACTTGTATATTTACTCTCAGATGCGTCAATATTAAGAAAAATAGGGAAATGTAAAAATTTGATGAATTTTCTCGTTTTACTATTAGCTAATGATAACATTTGGGAATCGGAGCATACTATCAAAAAACTTTTATAACAAAAGTTGTAGCTAATCTTATTCTTAACAATATTGCTCTCTTATATGTTTGCTCTCAGATGCGTCAATATTGAGAAAAATAGGAAAATTAAAAAATTTGATGAATTTTCTTGTTTTACAATTAGCTAATGGTGACATTTGGGAATCGGTGCATGTTATCAAAAAACTTTTAGAACAAAAGTTGTAGCAGGTTTTGTTATTAACAATATTGCTCACTTGTATATTTGCTCTCAGATGCGTCAATATTGAGAAAAATACGAATATATGAAAATTTGACGAATTTTTTGTTTTACTGGTGTTAATGGTAACATTTGGGAATCGGAGCATGTTATCAAAAACCTTTTAGAACAAAAGTTGTTGCAAATTTTATTCTTAACAATATTGCACTCTTGTATTTTTGCTCTCAGATGCGTCAATATTGAGATAAATACGAAAATTAAAAAATTGGGTGAATTTTCTTGTTTTACTATTAGCTAATGGTAACATTTTGGAATCGGAGAATGTTATCAAAAAACTTTTATAACAAAAATTGTAGCAAATCTTATTCTTAACAATATTGCTCTGTTGCACTTTTGCTCTTAGATGCGTGAATATCGAGATAGATCCCAAAATATGAAAATTTGATGAATTTGTTCCGCTTTCAAGTTATTAAGGGTAACACTTCAGAATCGGAGCATGCTATAGGAAATCTTTTATAACAAAAATTGTTGGAAATTTTATTGTTAACAATATTGCTCTCTTACACTTTTGCTCTTAGATACGTCAATATCGAGATAGATACGAAAATATGAAAATTTGATGAATTTGTTGCTCTTTCAAGCTATTAAAGGTAAAAAGTAATTAAATTTAATTTTCTTAGAATTGTACTTTTGAAACTGGTTTTATTAATTAATTAAGTCTTACTAATTTCGGCCCATGGCCATCTTCAGAAACTAATTTTACAAGAGTTTACAAATAGGTCATATCGCAAAGTATTAAGTTCATAAATGTAATTATTCAAATAATTTTTTTTTAAGTTTAAAACGAAATAACAAGTTAACACGTTAAAATTGAAGAACGTTCTTCAATTTGACCTTTTTGTGAACTCTTGTAAAATTAGTCTCTGAAGCAGGCCATGGGTCGAAACTAGTAAGACTCAATTAATTAATAAAACCAGTTTCAAAAGTACAATACTGAGAAAATTAAATTTAATTACTCATTCACAAATTAAACAACTGGTAAAATGGATTTTAATTATAATTATCTATTAAAGGTGACACTTGAGAATCGGAGCTTGCTATAAGAAAACTTTTATAACAAAAATTGTTGCAAATTTTGTTCTTAACAATATTGCTCTCCTGCAGTTTTGCTCTTAGATGCGTCAATATCGAGATAGATACGAAAATATGAAAATTTGATGAATTTGATGTTTTACTATTAGCTAATGGTAACACTTGGGAATCGGAGCATGTTATCA